TCGGGAATATCAGTCTGTTCACTTGTCCTCTAGATTGTAGAGTGGTCACGTTTATTTGTGGGCATTTTAGTCATTATGTGGCCATGTTGTGGGTTGTATATAAGACTGTGATGGTGAGGGATCTGTTACGTGGGTTGATATTAACGACTGAAGCTGGGATGTTACATAATTGGGTGAAGGATTGGAATAATTTGAGGCAGACTTCTTGCATATGAAGCGTTCCATTTTGTCTTAGGACAAAAATATTCTGTTTTCATTACCTTTTAATGGAATAACTAATAAAGTTTACAGATTGAAATTATCATAAGAGGTAAAACACTTGCCTTCTTAAACCCATGATGCGCGAATATTTATCTGGGTATTCATCTTGGGCTCTAACTGGGTAGGCCAGTTAGAGCTTAAGTTCTTTTATAGCATTTTTTGCAAGGTGGTATGGTATACATGGAGATATATTGGATAATATTATTCTTTTTGTGGGAGAGACTAGCCTGCGAACATTCATCACAGAGTTTCCTACTGTCAAAATCGTATGAGATTTTAGAAGTTTGTCGACGAGTTCTGAAGTAGTTAAATATACCCAAATTCTGTTATTAAATATTCTAGATGCGAATAGGATTTGTTATAGACCAATAGCGTCACCTACTGCCTTGACGTAATCGAACAATTTTAGATTATCATCGGCATGCAATATTATGGCTTGATCTCTCTTTGGAAAAGTTGATCTAGGATTTGATTTGATTTGATTGCAGTTGCATAAGAGGAAGTTGATGTAGAATTATGAATATTTTGTGACATCTTGACAAGTTGTGAACTGTGAGAATCTGATGTGAAAAATGTATTTGTTATCGGTACCTGTGTAGTCAAAGGTAGACGAAAAATTTAACTATTTGTTGAATTTAGTTGAATTAGGTAGGTCTACACCACTGGTAGATGGCTCAGTTTTTGAAGAAATTATTAATTTGTTAATTAAATAATCAATAAAAAAAACATGCAGTTAGGCTTATCAATACATATGGTAAAGTCTGATCTTACTAGTATTTTAAAGTAGTTGTTAGGTTTCACAAAAACTCGGAGCAGATACAATGTTCCCTCGTTCAAGTACACACTCGGAATTCAACAAAATGTTTTACATTACAAATAAACTAGGTTTTAAATTGCAAAAATATTTTTTTAAATCCTTTGGGAATAATCAGAAGAAACTAAAAAACAATATTAAGGTATCTATAAGTGAAATTTTATTAAAAAAAAATAAATCAAGTTCTTTCTTAACTGGCTAATCACTGTATAGTTTACCCTAGACAACTGTTCATTTTATGCGATTAAAATTTCTAAATTTCTTCAAGTTCCCTATTTAATATATTTTCTACCGCTCTAGAAAAATTTTATGTTTATGAATTTTCTATATTATGGTGATAGACGAAACAAAAACTTTTATATTGACTATTATAATCTTCTACATCTGCTGTGAAACCGACAGTCTTATTTCCTTTCCCATATCAACACCTTTTAGTTTTTACTTAGTTTTTTACTCTGGGAAAATACTCTGTACAGTAGCAATATTTTTTATCGGTAAAAGATTAAATACTTTCCGTGAAAACATCATCAGTACATGCACCGCACAAAAGATCCTCCGATACAAATTTGTATTGAAAGAAAGAAAAGCAACTAGTCATTAGAGTCATTCAATAGAGCCCATGAATGGTTATTATTGTGTCTCAAAAGAAGTACATCAATATTATTATATATCTTACAGCAACGCTATCAAGAAAATGGGATTTTTATTGTATTTTCGAAGGTCTCCATAATTAGGAACTCGAAGAGTATGTTTAAATATTCTTTGATGGTTTATACCAGGAAGGGTTATTCGCTATTGTCGGTTTTTTTCGAACCGATATTGATACGCTCCTAATAACATGTCGTGAAAGGGTCTGAAGTAAAAAAGCCACAACCAGCACGTGTAATGTTCTTTGGAATTGGTTAAATGTTTTTGCGAACAATGGTGTGAATTGGTTTCTGCACGAAATCTTACCGAAAGTCGGGACTTTCTTTATTGAACTCTTCGAAAATGTGTAAAAATGTTTTCTCTTTAGTAAATAATGAAAATAGTAAACGTATAGTAAGAAATTATCAAAAGCGGTTAAATATAAAATTGAACATTTTTTATCTGTGCAATTGTATTTTTATTTAATTAGACGAATGTGTATTTTTTCTTATCATACGCCCATTATTGAGATTTCTGGATAGCAGGTAATCATTGATAAATACTAAAGTTCAAAACCAAACTCTTCTTTTAGTGCATTATTAATTTTGACGTCATATAGTATTTTAAAAATATGAGGAATCATTGCATGATATTTTAGTTCAATCTGACAGTAATCAGCCAAATATGAAAAGGTTATTGCTTCTAACACTTTTATTCCAAATAGTTAAAAGAAATAATAAACAAGACTTACTCACAATTAGTTTAATTTAACTATCTAGACGACCGGTTTCGCTTTCTACAATTTGCAAAGCATCTTCAGGTCTGTCGATACAAAGTTAATTAAATGCTGAAATAATAAAACCCATCTTAGGGTGTTGTCTATAAAGATAAACAAAAAGATACAATAATATAAATTACAGTAATTATGCCAATATTACATGTATGTGGTTTTTTTTAATGAATAAACTGTTTAAGCAGACAAAGTAAGAACCACGAATTGGCATAAAATAGTCTATTGAATTGTAATAAATTAGTAAATAAACAAAACATTACTTAAATACCGGTACACGATTTATTAGTAGTTGGGAGAACATAGTTCAAACTATCCTTTAATTGCTGATGATGGGGATCTTCAGTTTTTACTATTGTAACTGTTTGACAATCGACGGGGAAGTTTCTTGAGGAGATAGATTTTCCAATGAAGTAGAAAAAAGGCGTAAGGTGATTGTTTGTTAAATGAAAGTGATGTTCTGTATTATTTAATTCTTTATTTATTTATACTTATTCAACAGATATATTTTCGAAATGTGAGTTAATTTATTAAATTTTTTTTATTAAAGTGACAGTTGTATGACAATGAATGAAATTAGATGTATTAGATTGTGTGGGTGTGCAAATTTCTTTAACTTGTAATTATCAAATTTCTTTGATTCAAAGTTCAATTAGATTACTGTTGTTTGGCAGATGATTGTAAAGTTAAGGATATTAAAATTATTAAAACTAAAACAATTAAGGACACTTAGGGACAAACAGAAAACACTTAAATGGACAAAACAGACATTAAATTTTAAAAAGGGGGGGAAAGCTCTCTTCGGTTTGAATGTTATCACACACTAGATGCCTAGACGTTAATCAGGAGGTACATACGTGTTTTATCGATTTTGAAAAAGCGTTTGACAGAGTACGCCATGATAAGCTTAGAGAGATTCTTGAAAGGAAGGAGATAGATAATAAAGATCTGCGAATAATTCTCAATCTATATTGGAATCAGAAAGCTAACATCAAAATAGAAACTGAAACATTACAAGCAATAGAAATACGTAGAGGAGTACGACAGGGTTGCATTTTGCCACCTCTGTTATTTAATGTATATAGTGAAAGCATCTGTCAGGAAGCCCTTTTACAAGCAAACGGAGGAATCGTAATTAATGGAGAGATTGTAAATAATATTCGATACGCAGACGACACTGTACTAGTTGCAAGAACAGTAGAAGAATTACAAAGATTACTTACAGACATAAATATTGCTTGCAACAATTATGGTATAAATATCAATATTAAAAAAACCAAGTATATGGTCTTCAGTACAAACATGACACAACCAGCGTATATTAGTATAAACGGCACTCAAGTTGAAAAAGTATCAAGTTACAAATACTTTAATAAACGAAACTGGAGACCAAAACAGTGAAATAAAAAGACGTATCGAAATTGCCAGGGCCACCTTCATAAAGATGAGAAAATTCTTCTGCAACAGAAATATAAGCATCCCTCTACGATTAAGAATGCTGAGAGGCTATGTATTTAACACGCTATTATACGGTGTAGAGGCCTGGACTCTCAAACAGAACAACATGAAAAATATTGAAAGTTTCGAGATGTGGTGCTACCGTCGAATGCTGAAGATTAGTTGGGTTTAAAGAATAACAAACTGTGAAGTAATACGAAGAATAGGAAAAAACCCAGAGATTTTGTTAACGCTAAAGCGAAGAAAACTCGAATATTTTGGTCACCTGATGGGAGGACATAATTACGCATTACTTCAAAATATAATGCAGGGAAAAATAGAAGGAAAACGGAATCCAGGCCGTAGAAGAATGTCATGGTTGCGGAATTTGAGAGAGTGGTTTGGCTGCACCACTAATGAACTCTTTAGGTCAGCCGTAAACAAGGTCAGAATAGCCTTGATGATTTCCAATCTCCGATAGGAGTGGCACAAAAAGAAGAAGAATAGCACTACATCTCTCAATTGGAGAAAATGAGTTTTTTGTTCTCTTTTAGATTGTTAGAGGTAAATTTAGAGATGAGTGTTTAGCAAGTAAACACCGACCGGTGATAGTGGAAGTAAGACACCAGAAGTAAAGTGTTTGAAGTTAAAGTATAAGGATTTGACAAGAGTCTTTAGGAGTGAACTGCTAGAAAGAGATACGGTAAATGACTGGTGGAAAGTAAGCAATAAAGTTGTGGTGCGAGTGGGAAAAGAGGTGCTAGGACAAACATCTGGTAAAGGACCTCCAAGAGATAAAAAACTTGGTGGTGGAACGATGAAGTGCGACAGAAGGTTAGAGAGAAGAAAAAGACTAAGCGACTAGAAAGAGGTATGACAGGTCTAAAAAATAGGAAGATAAGAATATATACAAGGTATCAAAGAGGAAAGCAAAGCGCGGTGTAGTTACTGCTAGCAAAAGATCGGCTTTACAGCTATATAAAGAGTTGGAAATACTCGAGGGAATAATAAGGTTATACAGCAATATTAAACAAATATGGTATAAGTACTTTAGAAAGTTGTTAAATGAAGAACAGCAGCAGAGAGACAGGATGCGGGATCTTAAATGAGAATGTAATCTCGGGAATAGCTAGCGATAAGGTTGTCGAGTCGTTAAATAGGATAAAGAATGGTAAGGGAGTAGGAGCTAATGAAATATCTGTAAAGGTTTGGAAGGCTCTAGGAAATGAAGGAGCTAATATTTTGTTGCAAATGGTATGATATATGAGGAAGAAAGAGTGCCCAATACATGGGGAGAGAATGTCATGTGTCATGTGTCATGGTATAATTGTATAAAGATTTAATTAAAAATCCTTTGTAATAGGTATATATTTAAGGCCCAAACGGGCTAAGTTAAAAAGACAAAACGTTTTCGGAAACCATGTTCCATCATCAGTGTCTAGGAGTACATGAATATAGCCACCAAGATTAAATATGTGGGTAAAAACCCGTTAACAGATGTTTAATTACATTTAGTTTTAAAAATATGTTATAATAATTTAAGATTATAGAGTTACCGATGGATTAGGTAACATGGCGTCATGACGGTGGAAGCTAAAATAAAAAATGTTACAGTAGATGTTCGAAAGGCTAAAAGGGAAAGGATCAGGAACGACTTAATTAAAGAAGGAGCCGGGCTGACTACAGTCTCGAAAAAGATTCGAGAATAAAGACTGCAATGGTTTGGTCATGTGCGACGTAGAAAACTACGTGGGACGAATAATAGAGTTGTTAAAAGTTAATGGAAGGTGAGGTAGAGAAAAACTGAGGAGAAGATGATAGAACTGTATGGCAGACGACTAAAGAGAGAAATATTTAGGTGAAAAAGACCTGATGGACAGACATGAGTGTCGACGAAGAGTAAGAAAAAGCGACCTTTGAAAAGGAAACATTGAGAAAGAAGAAGGAAAGCTCGTTAGTTTAACTAATTTAGTTAAATTTTCTACTCATTAAATGTTTTTGGGGTTTCCGTGCATTGATGGTTTCAGGTACGTAACTTATATCGTCTGATTACTGTGGTCAGCATTTTCTTATTTAAATTTACTGATGTATTTAGTTCATCTTTAGGTTGAGGTTCGTTTTTTGTCATGTGCATTTTTCAAGTAAACTTTGGTAGGTACATGAGAACGTTGGATTTGTCAGTTCTTAAAACAAAATTAACTAAACTTGAAAGCAACTAATTCTTTTTATCGAGACTGTTATTTAAGTAAATTTTTTTGGTATTAACATAGATTATTCGGCATAAGTAATGATATGTTGACACTAAATACCTGTTTAATACCATTAGTTACTGGTAGATTGGATAGCTTTACAAGCAGAATAGCTAGTCTTAAGGCCGAATAAAAAAACAGCAATAACCTGTTCCAATAAAAAAGAACCGAAGAAATAACCTTGGATACAGGATAGAAATATTTAAAGATGATTTTAGCAAGAAAAAGAACTAGGAGAAAGAAAACTAAATTACGATTAGCATGCTGGAATATCGAATCGTAAACAGAAAAATATCAAAAGATACTGATAGAAATGCACGTAGGAAATAAAAAAAGGAAAAGTAACATCAAAATTTTATTTTATTTATTTACAGCGGGAAGGAAAAAGAATATTATGCAAGCTTAGGGTCGGCCTTTTACTGCACAACAAATTTAAAATAGACACAGAAAATATCAGTTAACGCTTCAGACATACGCAAACCAGAAAGTGAAATGGATAATTTTTATTAGATATTTTGAAGAAAAGAGGAATGCATACCTACAATACTACGTTATAATACGTTAAAAGTCACACCTACCTGTAATACAAGACAAGATACAAAAAACAATATCAATTCTTAGATTAAAGCATAAAAACAAACTATTGGGCATAATTCACAAAGGACATAATAAATGAATTATATGGAGCGGAAAATTTGGAAAATCCTTCAAGATACAAAAAACCTATTATGATGCTACCTTGCAATGCCTCTCACCAAATATCTTGTTTAAGTGAATTGGGTAATGATGTAACCGGTAAGAATATCTTCTTATTCTACTTCTTGTGCCACTCCTAGCGGAGATTGGAAATCATCATGGCCACTGCGACTTTGTTAGCAGCGCGCCTAAAAAGTTCAATCGAACTACACCCGAACCATTCACGTAGATTACGAAGCCACGATATTTTTCTTCTTCCCACACTTCTTTTGCCCTTAATTTTCCCTGCATGATGTTTCTTAAAAGTTCATAATTTTCACCTCTCACAATATGCCCCAAGTATTCCATCTTCCTAGTTTTTATCTCATTTAGAATTTCGCATCTTTTGTTTAAAGTTTGGAGTACTTGCGTGTTAGTGACGCGGTCCATCCATGATATTCTGAGAATGCGCCTATAGCACCACATCTCGAAAGCTTCGATGTTTTTTATGGTCAACTGTTTTAGTATCCAAGCCTCAACTCCATATAACAGGGTAGAAAAGACATAACACCGCAGCATTCGTATTCGTAACTTTATATTGATATCACGATTGCAAAAGAGTTTTCGCATTCTATTAAAGACTGATCTAGCGATTTCTATTCTACATCTAATCTCTTTTGTTTGATCAGTATCGTCTGTGATCCAAGCACCTAGATATTTATAACAGGGCACACACTCAATCGTTGTATTGTCTATTACAAGATTAGCTCTGATGTTCTTTGATTTCGTGATTACCATAAATTTAGTTTTTTTTTTCAAATTAATTTTCAAGCCGTAACTGTTACAGTATATATTAAGACTTTGAACGAGATGTTGTAGTTCTACTAGCGTTCCCGTTAGGAGAACTGTATCGTCAGCATACCATATATTGTTGATCATCTCACCATTTATTATCAGACCAAGATCTTTTTCCTCGAGAGTGCTTGTTCACAGATAGCTTCACTATACAGATTAAATAAAAGTGGCGATAAAAAGTCCCTGCCGGACTCCTCGACGGATTTGAATTTCTTCTGTTAGTCTGCCCTCAACCTTGACATTTGCTGTTTGATTCCAATATAGATTGCATATAATTCGAATATCTCGGCTGTCTATATTTTTTTTCTTTATTAGAACTTGTCTCACCAAGACAAGTTCTAATAAAGAAAAATATAGACAGCTAAGAATATGGAACGGCGGATATGCCATCAAGTTGAAAGTATTCGACCAGACCGTATCCGTCTTATAAAAACGGACTTAAACTTTTCTGTTAGCTGTCTGTCGCCCAGATAGTTGAGTGCTCCCGAACCCGAACGTGTTGACAATTTTCGAAGAAATTTTGTATTTTTTCTCACTCACTCTTAAAATACTTTTCTATTTATTAATTTATCATAAGGGTGTATAAAAACATATCAGTCTTTTTCAACAAACAGGGAAAAGTTTTTGACGCATCTGAAATCTAGCTTTTTACTAGTAAGACTCTTCGACCACAACACTCTGCAACTTCTTACAAAATCCAACATTTTACCAGAATTATACAGCTCGTACCAGAAGTCTTTGCCCGTCAAAAAAAGTACTTAATAAACCTCTCCCCTCTTTGCTTTCCTCTTTCTTGTATATTTTTCTTTAATGCTCACCTTAATTATCCCAGTGTTATTTGTTTGTTTTCTTTAAAATTTTGTTTAAAATTTCTAAGTTTACAATATCTATTTGAATGATTGATGTGTGTGTTCACTAAAAATAACAACCAGTTTGCAGTTTAAACGTAATATCTATCCTAATTTAACAAACGCAAAAATACAATACATCTGTTGCGTCGTATGTGCCACCGCTAATTTAATATATTGCCAACTGTTAAAAAATAGTAAAACTGAAAAATGATGAAATGAAATGTGACATTCATTTGAACAGTACTTTGTGCTAAGTATAATAAATTGTTTATTCTTGAGTAATTCGTCATACTCTGGAATTTAGAGACGTTTTTTTTTTCAGCATAAAATATATCACACTAGAATTTCCATTATAATAAATATTTATCGTGAAGTTAACTTGTCTTTCGTTGTACATCCTTTTTTTTATTTTATGTGTTAATTGTATTATGTCTGGTAGTCTGGCGGATCGGCATAAAAAAGCCAAAAGATCTTGTGTTAAGTTTTCACACATCCTGTACATTATTTGCTTTTTACTTCTACTATCAGATATAGCCCCTGGGAAAGTAATCATAGCTCTCCGCCCACAATTTGATGGCTTCATTATCGAAAATAAAACTAAACACGGCCAGAGCCCTATTGGAAGAGGTAGAACGTATTTTTGAACAATTTCGTATAAACAAGGACGGACTATTGGTGTTTGCTCTTATTTCTCGCAAATTATGGGGTGTAGCTTTTTGTTTGCCTAAGTTTTTTAGAGGTAATATATTATGCTGATCGGTCGATGCTGTTAATATATAAGAGATCTTCGGAAATTAATCAGCCTCTTCCGGAACACTTCTTTGAAGTCTTTTGTGGGACCAGCTCCATAAAGTTACCTGGTAAATCCATAGAAAAGCGTATTATTAAATGAAAAATACTTAACTTAATGGAAATTTATCATTAAAAATTAACTTTTATTATTATACTGTTTCATCGACCTACTTATTTGTCTAATATCTATTACGCGTTTTTAAAATTATTTTCCTTCCTATATTATAATTCTCGTCCTTCTCCATATAGGTTTCTTATATTGGAATTCATTTGCTTTTAGTTCGTTTAATATCGTCATTTTTTTTTCAATGTTATGTGTTAAAAATTGTAAGGGTGGTGTTGTACCATCGGGTTAATATCAAAATCTAATTTTTGTGTATTTATGTATTATGTGTTTATATATTGTATTGCTATTTTAATTTATTCACATTTTTCTAACCTTAACACTAAAAACACAATGAATTGATGTCGTCAGCCCAACGTGTATGTAGTCTTCTTCTACTACGTTTGTTTGCTCTTAGCCTTTAATTTGTAATTTTGCTCGTCCATCGCGAGTCATGCATTCTCGCTACATGGCCTGCCCAGTCCCATTTCAGTTCCGCTATGCGTTCCACAACATCAGCAATACTCTTTCTTCTTCGTAGATTTTTGTTTCTAATTTGGTCACACAACGTCACTCCCAGCATAAACCGTTCCATTCGTCTCTGTGCCACTCTCAATTTCAAATCCGTAGTCTTGGTTAGAGTCATAGTTTCCGCCCAATAGCTCATGACTGGTAATAGACATTGATCAAAGACTTTTCTTTTAAGACTAGTTGGTATGTTGGCCTTAAGTGGGT